TCAGCTCAAGGCTAGCGCTCTACCACTTGAGCCACAGCGCCACTTCCAGCTTTTTTCTTTTTGCTTATGTGGTGCTGAGGAATCGAACCCAGAGCCTCATGCATGCAAGGCAAGCACTCTACCACTGAGCCAACTTCCTGGCCCTCAAGTTCAAGTTCTTGCTGACAGGGCCACGGTCAGTGCTGTGGCCCCTCTCTGCCAGCCCTGGCTGGTGGTTTCAGAGAGACAAGGGGGCTCTGGACTTTCTCTTAACGGTGCCGCGTGCTCCCCCTCCCCCATGGAAATCCAGCCTGCTGAAGGCCCCACAGGGACCCGCCCCACCAGAGCCTCCACCCCCCATCAGGACTCACAGCCCTCGCTGGCTGGTGCCCAAGAAAGGTCTGGACGCGTAGACAGGGGCGTGTGTGGCATCGATGGCCCAGTAGAGGAAGAAGGGGCGCTGCTTTGCCTGCTGTGTTCTGATGAAATCCAGGGCTTCCTGCCAAGAAGCTCTGCGTCCTCCTCTGCCACATGGCCAACCTTCCCCCACTACCCAGACACTGGCCCGCCCTTACCTCTAAGTAGATCTGAGTGAGATTGGCTTCCCCAGTCTTCAGATTAATGGGGAATTCTTCATAAAATCTGAAAATATGCCAGACAGAATCCAGACTTTAGTCAAGAAAGTCCCTTCCCAAATGCTACCAGCAAAGTCACAGGCTGTGTTTGGAACAGGGCTGGGCTGGGCAGCTCATGCTCATCACCAGGTCTGGACTGCAAGCTGCAGGTTGGGGGCCATACAGAGTGATAACTTATCTCAGGAAAGCCGCCACTTAAAAAAGACAATGTGATGCTGCTGCCGTGGCTCACACCTGTAATCCTAGCTACCCCGGGAGGCTGAGGATCATGGTTGGAAGCCAACCTGGGCAGGAAAGTCTGTAAGTCTCTTATCTCCAATAAATTACTCAGAAAAAGCTGGGAGTGGTGCTGTGGCTCAAGTGGTAGAATGCTGGCCTTGAGCACAAAGAGGCTCAGGGACAGTGCCCAGGCTTCAAGCTCCACAACTGACAAGAAAAAAAAAAAAAAAGAAAGAAAGAAAAAAAGTGAACAAAATTCAAGAATTCTCCCGACACAGGCTCTCCACAGCCAGGCCCAGCCCACCCGGGAAACTTGCTTCCACCCTGGCTCTCGAGGCTGATGCTCATCCCCCTCTGCTCTGCTGAGTGTTCAGGCTACGGCTGAGAGGCGAATCTCACACAGGCAGATGGCAGCTCACCAAGAGGCTGTATGGGGTCCTGGACCTCCAAAACTGGGTGCCGGCTCTATGATGTCCCAAAAGAAACAGGAACCCTGGAAAGGCCAGAAATGGCCCCAGGCCCGAGTCTCACAGGCTCCAGGAAGAATGTCCCGGAAACCAACGCTCTTGGGACCCAGAAGGCCAGTCCTTGCCAGCAAGTGGTTCAAGAATCACCTCTCCTACTGGAAGCATGGCTCAGGGGGTGGAATGCCTTCACAGCCAGTGCAAGGCCCTGCGTTCAAAGCCCGGGACTCCGAAAGAACCACCGTCCATCCTGGTCCAGAGAAGCAGCGAAGCAGGGGCAGGGGTGCTGGGCAGGGAAGGAAGGGCCCGTTACCTGCCGACCATCTCCCAGTCCCGGTACACAGGGATGTTGGGCCGAGCCTTGTTGTCATAAGGCCCAAAGTGGCAGTTGGGGGAGCCAAACCACTCATCAAATCCGTGCTTCAGGGGGTGGAACTGAGGCCTGTGGCCCAAGTGCCTAGAAACAGGAGCCAAGACACTTCAGGGACCCCACCCAGGGGCGCGCCGAGTTCCTACAGCAAACCCATCCTCTTCACAAATGTTTAACAAGAGTGCCTCCTGCACTCACTGCGTGCTGAGGCCTGGAACACCAAACATAAAGACTGCCCCAGAAGGAGCACAGGGCCTAACCCAGGGTGCCAGGCACCTGTGGACAGGACACTTGGAGTGGCCAGGCCTGGTGTCCTGTAGGTGCTGGGCAGAGCCTCCAGTATGGTAGGCAGTGGGAACTGGCCTCCAGGCCCCAGTGGCTTTATCCTGCCCATCTTCACTCTTCTTATTTATTTTTTTGTGGCAGTCCTGGGGCTTGAACTCTGAGCCTGGAGCTTTTGCTGTCAAGGCTAGTGCTTTACCACTTGAGCCACAGCTCCAGTTCTTGCATTTTGATGACTGGAGATAAGAGTCTCACAGACTTTCCTGCCATGACTGGCTTCAAACCTCAGTCCTCAGAGCTCAGCCTCCGGAGCAGCTGGGGTTACAGGCGTGAGCCACGGGTGCCAGGCCAATCTTCCTGGAGGGCCCAGCTCCCACCTGCTCTACCAAGCATGCTGAAGAAAGGGGCTCCAGTGCTGTCTGAGGTCACAGCCTGCGTGCAGCGCAGCTCCAGCCTGGGACACAGCCACAGCCTGAAAACAGCGTCTGGGGGTTGGCGTCCTCTGCTGGACTGTGTTTGGGCAGGAAGGGCCCTGTGCCAGGGCTGTGTCGGTCTGAGGCCTGGGGCTTGCCCCTCAGTGAGCAGAGTCACGGGCTGGCGGCTTCGGGGAGGAGTACAGCCAGGCAGCAACTGGTCTGTGATTTTTGCAGGTCATCACATCTGTCCAGGCCTCGGTTCCCCACCCACAGCTGCGGGGACTGCTGGGGGCGTGGCTGGCTGCCCCGCTCACTCCACAGCCCTCTGGCTCCACGTTCTTTCCCTCCTAGGTGAGTGTGCCTGCATCTCACAGTGACACCACGGGTCCTCAAGCTGCCCCTGGGCTGTGTGGCCCCCTGCTGTGGCACCTGTCCTTTCTGCATGTGTTGGACAGGTGGCGACCTGGCTACCGGTGACCTCCTAGTGTCCCTGTCCAACACAGCATAGAAGGCACTGGTGGCTCATGCCTGCAATCCTCGCTACTCAGAAGTATCACAGTTTGAAGACAGCCAGTGAGGAAAGTCTGTGAGACTCTTACCTCCAGTCAACCACCCAAAAGTTGGAAGTGGAGCTGTAGCCCAAGTGGTAGAGCACTGTCAGGACCAGTGCCCAGGACCTAAGTTCAAGCCCCAGGACCACACAAAACAAATAAAACCCAACAATAAAATTACACGGTAGGGCTGGGAATGTGGCTGAGTGGTGCCTAGCAGGCATGAGGCCCCGGGTTCGATCCTCAGCACCACATTCACAGAAAAGGCCAGAAGTGGCGCCGTGGCTCAAGTGGTAGAGTGCTAGCCTTGAGCAAAAGAAGCTCAGGGACAGCGCCCAGACCCTGAGTTCAACCCCAGGACTGGCAAGACAAACAAGCACATGATCATGTGGGGGAGGAGTTGGATATGGGAGAAAAATGAGAGAGAGGGTAACAATGTAAAACAAGAAATGTACTCATAAAAAATGAACTTTACAACTTTGGTGGTGGGGGCAGGATGGGGTAGGAGGGCCGGGGGGAGGGTATGGGAAGGGGAAACAAAGGAGGAGGCAACAATGCTTGATAAGAAATGTACTTGCTATCTTGCCCATGTAATTGTAACCCCTCTGTACGGTATTTTCACAATAAAAAAAGAAATGTACTCATTACCGTTACCTTACTTATGTAACTATAGCCCCCTCTGTACACCACCTTTACAATAAAATTAAACTTAAAAAAAAACCACATAGTCACAGTTTTGCCCAGCTTTAATTCACCTCGTCTGTCCCCCAACAGCAGTGGCCAGTGCTGACCAGCAGGGGATCCAGAGCCGAACAAGGGCTGGCAGCACTTGGGCTTCATCTGAGTCTTATTCTCCGACTACGGTTTCTGCACGAGGCACGGCTCTTCTGCAGGAGCCCAGGCCCCACCTGCCTCCTTGGTTCTGTGGTCTAGATGAGAACCAGGGCAGTTCTGGCTTGGGCCTGCTGGGACAGAGACCTACGGAGCGGTGGCGTGTCCGCCCCGGGCCTCTGGAAAGCACCCTTGTACTGGTCCCGCTGCAGACTCCATTGCTGACCTGCCACCCGCTATGCTCCAGTCCTTGGAGACTTCCCTCTAGGCCCTGCTCCAGCTCAGCCATCCTGGGCCTCAGCCAGCTCCACAGACTCACTCCTCGTGCATCTGCGGCCACCCTCACTGATGACGGTGGACAGGAGGCGGGAGGCTGGGCGGGGCAGCACACAGGCAGCTCTGGGACTGTGCTGGCAGCCCTGAGGGCAGCGTGCGCCAGGACTCCCCGGTGTCCCGCCACCGGCTCGAGGGCCGCCACCTGCTCTGCCACCTCATCCTAGCCGGCAGCCGGCGTTCTTGCCTGAAGAGGAGCATGGTGTTCCTCAGACAGCCTGCAGACTGCCTGGATTTCCTGAGAACTATTCTAGTCTTGGCAGGTTCGGAGTCCCTGTGGCTGACACGGGCAGTGGGAAGGGCTCCTACAGGGCAGAAAGCAGGGGCAGCTTCGTGAGGGAGGAGGGCCTGTGGGCACCGGCGGGGTAGGGGCGATGTGCCCCGGGGGGAGAGATCAGTGTTTCTGTGCAGATGCAGGAGTCTGTGCAAGCTGACAGGGTAATCATGTGGTCAGGGCTCCGTTACACTGACAGACCACACTGTTCCTGCGCTTCCTAGCCGCTGCTGCGCACTTTAGAATCAAGTTCCCACCACCACGTGGAAGCCCTCTGCTGGCTAGGTGTGAAGGAGCATGGTGTGAAGGAGAGCAGTGTGAGGGAGCATGGTGTGAAGGATCATGGTGTGAAGGAGCACGGTGTGGAGCATGGTGTGAAGGAGCGCGGTATGAAGGAGCGCGGTGTGAAGGAGAGCATGGTGTGAAGGAGCGTGGTGTGGTGGAGCGCGGTGTGAAGGAGCACGGTGTGGAGCATGGTGTGAAGGAAAGCAGTGTGCAGGAACATGGTGTGAAGGAAAGCAGTGTGAAGGAGCATGGTGTGAAGCACTGTGAAGGAGCATGGTGTGAAGGAGTGTGGAGAGGGTGTGACAGTGTGGAGTGGGTGTGACAGTGTGGAGTGCAGTGGGTGTGATGGAGTGTGGAGTGGGTGTGGCAGTGTAGAGTGGGTGTGGCAGTGTAGAGCGGCTGTGACTGTGGAGTGGGTGTGCCAGAGTGGAGTGGGTGTGACTGTGGAGTGGGTGTGGCAGTGTGGAGTGGGTGTGACTGTGGAGTGGGTGTGACTGTGGAGTGGGTGTGACAGCGTGGAGTGCAGTGGGTGTGACAGCGTGGAGTGCAGTGGGTGTGA